ATACACTAATGATGAAAAATCTGAAAGTGAAATCAAGAAAACACTCCCATTTACCATTGCAACAAAAAGAATAAAATATCTAGGTATAAACCTACCTAAGGAGACAAAAGACCTATATGCAGAAAATTATAAGACACTGATGAAAGAAATTAAGGATGATACAAATAGATGGAGAGATATACCATGTTCTTGGATTGGAAGAATCAACAGTGTGAAAATGACTCTACTACCCAAAGCAATCTACAGATTCAATGCAATCCCTATCAAACTACCACTGGCATTTTTCACAAAACTAGAACAAAAAATTTCACAATTTGTATGGAAACACAAAAGAGCCCGAAGAGCCAAAGCAAACTTGAGAATGAAAAACGGAGCTGGAGGAATCAGGCTCCCTGACTTCAGACTATACTACAAAGCTACAGTAATCAAGACAGTATGGTACTGCCACAAAAACAGAAATATAGATCAATGGAACAGAATAGAAAGCCCACAGATAAACCCATGCACATATGGTCACCTTATCTTTGATAAGGGAGGCAGGAATGTACAGTGGAGAAAGGACAGCCTCTTCAATAAGTGGTGCTGGGAAAACTGGACAGCTACATGTAAATGTATGAGATTAGATCACTCCCTGACACCATATACAAAAATAAGCTCAAAATGGATTAAAGACCTAAATGTAAGGCCAGAAACTATCAAACTCTTAGAGGAAAACACAGGCAGAACACTCTATGACATAAATCACAGCAAGATCCTTTTTGACCCACCTCCTAGAGAAATGGAAATAAAAACAAAAATAAACAAATGGGACCTAATGAAACTTCAAAGCTTTTGCACAGCAAAGGAAACCATAAACAAGACCAAAATAGAAGCCTCAGGATGGGAGAAAATATTTGCAAATGAAGCAACTGACAAAGGATTAATTTCCAAAAGTTATAAGCAGCTCATGCAGCTCAATAACAAAAAAGCAAACAACCCAATCCAAAAATGGGCAGAAGACCTACATAGACATTTCTCCAAAGACGACATGGGCTGCCAACAAACACATGAAAGAATGCTCAACATCAATCATTAGAGAAATGCAGATCAAAAGTACAATGAGATATCATCTCACACCAGTCAGAATGGCCATCATCAAAAAATCTACAAACAATAAATGTTGGACAGGGTGTGGAGAAAAGGGAACACTCTTGCACTGCTGGTGGGAATATGAATTGGTACAGCCACTATGGAGAACAGTATGGAGGTTCCTTAAAAAACTAAAAATAGAACTACCATATGACCCAGCAATCCCACTACTGGGTATATACCCTGAGAAAACCATAATTCAAAAAGAGTCATGTACCAAAATGTTCATTGCAGCTCTATTTACAATAGCCCGGAGATGGAAACAACCGAAATGCCCATCATCGGATGAATGGATAAAGAAGATGTGGCACATATATACAATGGACTAATACTCAGCCATAATAAGAAACGAAATAGAGCCATTTGTAATGAGGTGGATAGACCTAGAGTCTGTCATACAGAGTGAAGTCAGAAAGAGAAAGACAAATACCGTATGCTAACACATATATATGGAATTTAAGAAAAAAAAAATGTCATGAAGAACCTAGGGGTAAGACAGGAATAAAGACACAGACCTACTAGAGAATGGACTTGAGGATATGGGGACAGGGAAGGGTAAGCTGTGACAAAGTGAGAGAGAGGCCTGGACTGATATACACTACCAAACGTAAGGTAGATAGCTAGTGTGAAGCAGCCGCATATCACAGGGAGATGTAAGAGGGAAGAGATATGGGAACATACGTATATGTATAACTGATTCACTTTGTTATAAAGAAGAAACTAACACACCATTGTAAAGCAATTATACTCCAATAAAGATGTAAAAAAATAATACCACCATTTTGGGTGTCACAAATTAGCAAAAAATATTTTTAATAAGGCTAACCAATGCTAATGAGTGTTGTGAGATGAGCATTATCATACACTGATTTTTGGTGGTGCATACAATCCTTTTGCAGAGGTAATCTGAGGCGAACTGCATTGAAGGCTTTAAAGGTCTCCATATTCTCTTATTGAAATTTAACTTTGTGGAATATACCCTACAGAAACAATTTGAAAATTAAAAAACTTAATGTACTAACATATTCATGGCAGTGTTCTATATATACATCCATGTAGTAGCAAAACTGGAAACAGCTAAACAATGGCTAAGATACAGGTATCTACGCATATATTTATATACAAAATAGGATATTACGTAGCCATTAAAAACAGTCTGTATGTAACACTTCCACGTTTACTACATGAAGAACAAAACATAAAACTGTTTATGTTAAAAGAGGAAAAGAAGGAAAAAAATTATGCCTAAACGTTGGAAGAAAACAAAGAAACATTAAATGCCTGGTGAATATTTTCCCCTTCTTTTAAATTTCCTGATTTTTTCAAAACTAAGTTTCCATAATGAGTTTGTATTGCTTGTATAATAGAAACATATAAAATATAAGCATAGTTTTATTATTAAAATTAAAATGAAAACTACTCAATGATTTTTGATATAGTGTCTATTAGCAGCAAAAGAGTACAACACACATATTATTCATTGAAGCTGTACACCAGCTTCTGACAACTCGATGACGGAGGGAATTGCTGAGCTTGTGCACAACTCACTTCTACCATGATTTCAAATAAACGTGCAAACATATGACGACAGGAAACTAAGGAAAATGCTTCCTTGCACTGAGGAAAAATCTACTCATCACTCAACCCACAGCATTTGTGCATAGTTTTTCAGATTTCAAAAGACTAAACAATAAAATGTATGCAGGTAAGAATCTAATAGCATAATTTATATAAGAGTAAGCAGTAATGCGGTATGCTTATTTTTTTAAATTAATTTATTTTTGGCTGCATTGGGTCTTTGTTGCTGCACACAGGCTTTCTCTAGTTGTAGTGAGCGGGGGCTATTCTCTTCGTTGTGGAGCACAGGCTCTAGGGGTGCGGGCTTCAGTAGTTGTGGCACGCGGGGGCTCAGTGGTTGTGGTACATGGGCTTATTTGCTCCACAGCATGTGGGATCTTCCCGGACCAGGGCTTGAACCCGTGTCCCCTGCATTGGCAGGCGGATCCTTAACCACTGCGCCACCAAGGAAGCCCCACAGAATTGTTTTAAAATGGCCAAAAAAGATCACTGCCAATGTAAACATGGTCAATACATCCAGGAAACTATGATTTCTACCTTCATATCAGAATGATTTCAATTTTAAAATGTGTGTTTAGTAAAGAATGAGGAAAGATAGAAAACACACAAAAGAATCTTCAAGGGCTTTTTTAATTTAAAACATATATAGCACATGAAAATAACAAATTCATATTAATACATTATATTTATATAAAACTTGTTTCAGTTAATACAGCTCATCCATTTTTGTTGTTAAATTCTACCAACTTCTTTAAAATGTTGCCTATGAAAATACCATCCAAAATGTGTCACTTTAATTTCATGAATGTTAGGTGTTATAGCTCTTTGCCTTCTTTGCCCCACACTTACACCAAAATGAATTATTTGAAAATGCTAAAATAAAGCTTTCTTAGTGGCTTAGTGGCTTTGTATTTGTATTAAAATATTTTACAACTATAAAAAGTTTAAAATAATTATATTGGTTTCCCTATATATAAATCCACATAAATATATTTGTATTGCATATTTTATTAGCTAATACAGTTTTTAAAAATATTCTACCAACTTCTTTAAAATATTTCCTATGAAAACATCATCCAAAATCTGTTTTAATTTTTATGAATGTTAGGTGTTGTATCTCCTTTCTCTCTTTGCCCCATACTTATGCCAAAACAAATTATCTGAAATGCAAATATAAATAAAATTTGGTATGCTTTCTTAGCTGTTTTGTATCTTGTATTAAGATATTTTACAAGTATAAAAGTTAAAAATTTTATTGGTTTTCCTGTATATATTATATATATGTAATCTTCTACCTACTGTAAGTGAACTAATCTACAGAATTTAGTCATTTTGTTATCTCAAATGTAGAGGTCCAAAAAATCAGGGGATTACAAAAATTTCAAGGTGATTAAAGCAGATGCACATTAAAATACTACAGCTATGGCATATTTAACATCCATCAATCAAAGAAAGAGAGTGTTTATCTTTCCATTTGGCAACAATATCTTCAAGATAACTATTTACCACTTTTCAAAGCACTACTATCAGGTAGGTTTTATACTGGGAGAGAGGATCTATAAAACATTACTGTCCTCATCCAAAACCAAAAATAAATAAAGGACTTTAAAATACATTAATTATGAAAGATGATGACCAGAAAAAATGACTATGTCCAATGAGCTTACAGGGCTTCAAGATGAGAATGCCTTTGCTTCATTCAAGATCTAGAATCTTCAAATTTCATTTGATAAATTTAACTGGATTTTCATTTCTGATTATGTTTAACCCCTACATTTGGCTGTGTACTGTAACAACTTTTATCTTACTTGGATAGTAAAAGAAAAACCACTGAATTCTAAAGACAGATTAATAATCTGTTGAACTCAAATTGAGAACTAATCAGTGAAAAATACTTATCTGGCTTGGTAAATAAATTTAAAGAGACTGAAAACATTACAAAATAAGCTGTTTTTTAAAATATCTAACCTGAAATGATAAAAAAGTTTTTAAAAGCTATTAAAGATCTTTCCTGAGGGCTACTAAAAGCAAAAACAACCTTAATAAACACATGGTTACAAATTTCCTCACAGAGGTAAAGAGGTTGTGATCAGTATCAGGATCTTAAGGAAGTGTCATTTCAGAGACTGCATTAGTCTCTTCTAAGTGGTTTAAAGAGTCTGAGCTGGTACATCCTGGAACTAAGGAAAATCCGAAGCAATTCACCTAGTGGGATACCAAAAGGACTTACATATCCTTGATTTATTCAATTTCATTGTTCTTTTACATATATTTTTCTTCTTTAAAACTTTAAGATGATTTACTCATTTATATGACAAGCTTAATAAGGCTGACATTCAATGGAAATCAATGAAATAATTTACCTTTTAGCAATTAGAAAAATTTAAATCATTTTTATTATCTTCTTTTTAAGGGTCCCTTATTAAAGCTTGTGAATTTTATTAATGTAAATAAACTAAAGTGATTGTTTTTTATGCACCTCTTTGCACCACAGTGTAAAGGGTAGTCTCGTTAGCAGTTAACCTTTAACACTCTGTACATACTATTCTGAAACACTGTGGTGAAGTACGGCCTCTCATCCTTGAGCAAGACGCTACATAAGGGAGGGTTAGCTGAGTTGGAAGGGTCTTCCACATCCCAAATTTCAAGCATACTGCAACCAGGCCTGAAAAAAACAGGCACATATATCTGTATTAAAAATGCATTCATATCTAGAAGAAATATAATTATAAAATATCTCCTAGATTTTTAGAGACTAATTTAATAAATTAAAGATTTAAAAGCATCATTTCAAAAAACGTAAGTTTAAAATTTAGAGATAATAAAATGAAGGTACGCTGCATTTTCGTGTTCCACTTAGTGAAATAACTAATATATTATTGAATCAAATAATAAGGGCTCAATGCACATTCAGAAATATATATTTAAAAATCTACTTTCAAAGTAAAATATAAATGAATATTCTAACTGGTATTGCCATCCAAACATAAGGCCCATTTATAGCAGAATGAGACAAATTAAAGGAAAGTTAATCTAATTCCTGATGAAATTCATATTTCATATTTTTGAGCTTAAATTGACTTGGATTAGCATGAAAACATATATAGTCCAAAGCAGGGAAAAGAAGCTCTTCTGCCAACTTTATTCTCCTCAACTCTTTCCCTTCTGAATGGATTGAATGAAATAATACTTCTCACTAGGCAACAACCTGGCATGAGAGTCATTAAAGGGAAGAAGTCAGGCAAAACTGGTTTCTAATTTTTTAACAGCTATATTGAGGTATAATTTATGTACGATAAAATTCACCCATTTTATGTGTAAAGTTTGATAAGTATGGGCAAATGTGTATAGGTGTGTGAGCACCATCATAATCATAACACAGGGAATTTCCATCACCCCAACAAGTTCCCTTGTAGCAGCCTTTTAGAGTCAGTCCTCTCCCCCAAATATAAACCTAGGCAAGCACTGCACCCTTCTGCACTATAGTATTGCCTTTTTTAGAATATGCTAGATCATGCATATCTAGCATGTATTACATACATGGTTACTCACATGGTAACATTGCTATCCTTTCTCCTTCAACCTTTCCTTCATGTATCTGTATTTACAATGCATCTCTTACAGAAGGACATAGTTGGGTTTTGCTTTTGTATTCAGTCTGTCAATCTCCGACATTTGATTGGAGTGTTTAGTCCCCATTCACATTTGCAAGTACTGATATGGTTTGATTTAGGGTTGCCACTTTCCTGTTTTTCTTCTGTTTGTTTCGTATCTTTTTTGATCATCTGTTTCTTTCTTGATTTCTTTTATGTAAAGCAAAAAGGTTTTATTATACCATTCAATTCATCTACTGGCTTATTTGAGTCTTTTCGTTTTGTTTTTTGCTTTTGCATTTTTCAAGTGGTTTGCTCTAGGGATTACAACAGACATCTTCAATGTATCACAATTTACTTTACATTAAAATTGGATTATTTCCAAGGAGGTGTGCCAAGAAGGTGGAGTAGGAAGGCCCTGAGCTCACCCCCTCCCATGGGCACACTAAAATTACAACTATTTACAGAGTAACTATTGATGAGAAAGACCAGAATCTAGCAGAAAAGATCTTATACAACTAAAGATATAAAGAAAGAACCACAATGAGACAGGTAAGCGGGGCAGAGGTGTGGTAATAGTCAAGACTCATCATATACCCAGGTGGGTGACCCATAGATGGGAGGATAATTACAATTGCAGAGGTTCTCCCCAAAGAGTGAAGGATCAGAGCCCCACTTTGGGCTTGGGGTCCTGTATCAGGAAGATGAGCCTCCAGGATATTCAGCTTTGAAGGCAAGCAGGGTTTACTTTTGGGAAAGACAGAGGGCTGTGGGAAAGAGAATCCACTCTTAAAGGGTGTACACAAAATCTCATACACTACAGGACCCAGGGTAGAAGCAGTAATCTGAAAGGAGCCTGGGTCAGACCTTCCTGCTGATCTTGGAGAGTCACCCAGAGAGGCAGGAGGCAACTGGAGCTCACCCTGGGGACGTAGATGCTGGTAGCAGCTATTCTGGGGAGCTTGTTCTACCACGTGGACACTGGTGCTGGTAAGTGCCATCGTGGAATTCTTCCTCTAGCTTATCAGCATGGGACCTGTCCCGACCCACCATCCTGTGAGTACCAGTACTGAGAAGACTCAGATCAAGCAGCTAGCCTGACACAGCCCCATCCACCAGCAGGCCTACATCAGCTTTGCTACACCCTGGAACCTATAGCCAGGTGCCTCATGATCTGGCTCCACCCACCACTGGCCAGTAGCCTCCACACAAGGTAGGGCCTGGCAACGAACAGGACTGGGGGCCAGCCACATCTACCTGACCATCCATAGTTCTCAGCCTGCCACAACAGAAGGGCCTGCGCAGCTGACACAGGGGGCAACCCTAGAGCATATAGCTCTGGTGACCAGAGGGGAGTGCACTTCTGGAACCCACAGGATGTCTCCTACAGAAGGTCACTTCACCAAGATTGGGAAGTGTAACCAAACTACCAAATACATAGAAATAATAACGGCAAATTAGGCAAAATGAGATGACAGAGAAATATGTTCCAAAGGAAAAAGATAAAAACCCTGGAAGAAGAATTAAGTGCAGTAGAGATAAATAATTTCAAATAAAAAGTTCATGGTAATGATCACAAAGATGCTCAAAGAACTTGGGAGAAAAATGGATGAACACAGTGAGAAGTTTAACAACGAGATAGGAAATATAAAGAACCACCAAACAGCTGAATAATACAATAAGTGAAATAAAAAAAAACATACTACAAGGAATCAACAGTAGATTAGATGATACAGAGGAATGGATCAGTGAACTGGAAGACAGAGCTGTGGATGTCACTGATGCTGAACAGAAAAAAAGAAAAAAAAATTACTGAGGACAGTTTAAGAGACCTCTGAGACAACATCAAGCATACTAACATTCTCATTTTAGGGGTCCCAGAAGGAGGAGAGAGAGAAAAAGGGGCAGAGAACATATGTGAAGACACAATAGCTGAAAATTTCCCTAACCTGTGAAAGGAAACAGACTTCCAGGTACACAGAGAGTCCCAAACAGGATTAACCTGAAAGGTCCACACCAAGACACATTGTAATTAGAATGACAAAAATTAAACATAAACAGAGATTCTTAAAAGCAGCAAGGGAAAAGCAACAAGTTACCTACAGGTTTTGAGCTATTATGAATAAAACTGCTCTGACACTCTTTCTAGAGAGATGGGGTTTTTTTGTTTGTTTATTTGTTTGTTTTGCAGTGCGCGGGCCTCTCACTGTTGTGGCCTCTCCCGTTGCGAAGCACAGACTCCGGACACGCAGGCTCAGCGGCCATGGCTCACGGGCCCAGCCGCTCCGCGGCATGTGGGATCTTCCCGGACCGGGGCACGAACCCATGTCCCCTGCATCAGCAGGCGGACTCTCAACCACTGCGCCACCAGGGAAGCCCTAGAGAGATGTTTTAATTTCTCTTATTTAAATTCTTTGGAATGGAACTGCTGAGTAATAAGGTAGATGTGTGCTTAAAATTTTTTAAGATTCCTCCAAATAGTTCTCCAAAGTGGTTGTATCATGTTCACTCCCCTTAGCAATGTCAGAGATTTACAATTATTCTGTATCCTCTCCAATGTATGGTATTTTAGTTTTAAAAATTGTATTTATCGGTCAGTCACACATTTTCTTTGGTGAATTATGTCTTTCCAAGTCTTTTGCCCATTTTCAATTGTACGGTCATTTTATTATTAATTTATAGAATTTCTTTATATGAACTATATTTATAAGTCCTTTATCAGATATATGCTTTCAAATATTTTCTTCTAGTCTGTGGCTTGCCTTATCATTTTCCTAATGTCTTTTTGGTGAAAATATTTCAATTTTGATATATACAATTTATTGATTTTTTAAATCGTTAGTACTCTGTGTTCTAAGAAATCTTTACAATTTTAGCTCTTACATTTAGTTCTATAATCCACATAAAGTTAATTTTTGTATATGGTGTAGTATGGGTCATGGTTTAATTTTTTTCTGTACATTATATCCAGTTAGATCAGCAATATTGTTAAAAGACCCCTTTTTCCATTCAAGTAAAAAATAGTGTTTTAAAATTTTCTTTGTGGTTTTTTTTCCTTTGACCCATAAATTACCCATAAGTTTACTGCCTAATTTCCAAATATGCATGGATTTACTAGGTATCTGTTTATTATTGTTTTCTATTTTAATTCTGTATGATTTAAAACCTTTTAAACATATTGAAACCATTTTACAGCCCAGCATATGTTATCTCTTGGTGAACATTCCACATGCCCTTTAAAAGAATGTGTATTCCACAGCTGTTTCCTGTAGTGTTCAATAAATGTCAGTTGGGTCAGGTTATTTGATACTATTTGTTGTTCATCTCTTTTATATGCTTACTGACTTTTTATCTACTTTTCCTAGTAGGGGAAAAAAATGTTAACTTTTCCAACTATAATTAAAGTCTTGCTTATTTTTTCTTTTAGTTCTACACATTTTTATTTTTTGTCCTTTGAAGCTCTGTTTAGAGGTATGCATATTTAAAACTGTTAGATATTTTTGATGAATTAATCCTTCTGTCATCATAAAATGTCCATCTTTATTTGTGACAATATGCCCTGTTTTGAAGTATGTTTTGTCTTAAGCTTTAAATTAATATGATACGCATATACGTTATGATATTTCTGTTTCTTCTTTTGCAAGATGCCGTTTCTTCATATACACATTTATTATATCTTAAAATTAGATACAAAAATTAGCTACTAAAATTTACGAACTTAGCTCTTCAAAATCTGTTATAGCCAATTCTTAATTATCCATAGGAGAAATGAAAATTCTTAATGCTAAAATTAATGTAACTAAGGACTTCTTAAATCAAGGAGACTAAACAAAGGTCTCAAGATATCCATTACACATCTTAGAATTTTACGTATTATTAGAGATTCAAAATTTAGAAATGAAAAAATGTTAATTAGAAACGTTTTCTTATTATGTCCTTTTGAGTTACGTGAAACTTTTCTTATGAGTCTTATAAATCCAATGTAAATCAGCTGTAGTAGCAGAATGCTAATATCTCACTTGGTTGTAAATTCAAATCTGTATTTCAGACATCTAATAAAAGTTATCAAAAAAATTTGAAGATTATGGAAAAAAGCTACATTTAAGATGTTAAATTAAAATGAAAAAATTAGGATAGCAAAATATACTATACTTTTAAAAAATTACATTATGCTTAAACAATAGTATAATTTTAATTTCCTACATGAAATAATTTTAAATAAAATACCAGGGCAACAATTTAATGGAATTAATTTAAAATAAAAATTTTTAAAGAATCAGGACTGCTGTAATAAAGTAAAACATTTGTTGTTTTAAAATATACCATATCATATACCACAGGACTCATACTCACTTAGTTCTTACAACACACCACGCCTCTTCTAAAATGTAGTAATTCACATGTAACTCCACCAACTTATCTCTCACTTCTTTTGCAGATTTTCGACTATATGCAGAATAAACTATTTTTGTCCGAGCTCTTTAAATTCAAACAAGTTAAAAAATTTTTAAATAAATGATAATAGATTTGTTACCAAATTAAAACCTCAATGCTTACTGGATGGAGCATTGATTATATATGACCCCAAATAGCATGAATTATTTTGGGAATAGCAATTGCCACATATCTATTTATATTTTGCATGTGCTTAAACTTACAGCAATTTGATTTTTGCAGGTACTGCTTATTAGTGTATCAACCAGTTTAGAGTCTAGAGGTAGGTAGCAGTATAATAGTTCAGAATATAAAATTTGCTTTGCATAATTCATAAAATAATTAATCTGGAACAAATTCAGATAGAGGCTAAATATAGTGAAAATATAGATTTCAGTAGATAATTTCATTCATAGAAACTCTGAAAAGCATATGAGTTGAAGCTGAATGTAGCAAAAAGAACAATTAGACAGTGGGCATCTAGGGTAGTAGTCATGTAGAGAAAGCAACTTAACAGAAGCTTGAGAGACAGGGATGCTTACCAAAATATGGTACAACAGATGGTTTAGCCCTAAATGGGGTTTTTTATAAAATCCTGAACAAATTATCAATTATGCATTAGACTTTTCTTAGGATTTCAAGCATACAGAATGCCCAATCTCCACAACCAAACATAAAACTTTAAATAATTTAAAATATTACCTCTAACAATAAGCCAAAAATACATTAAAAGGAAATGATTACCCAATTACTAGAATGATTAAAATAATTTTTAAAAGTCAGTCATTTAAGGAAAACAAAACTTTCAGACCTCAGTGGAAGCTAGAGTTCCCATAATCAGCTAGGAAAAGAGCACCCCAAAGTTTCATAAAAGCATTTAATATAGCAAATTTCATGTACCTTTTCTATCTGTTAAAAAAGGCTAATCATTGGCCACAAGTAAGATGAAGAATGGTTTCTTAAACCAGGCAGAGGGGCTGTGGAATCTAGAACAGGGGTTGGCAAACTATGGCCATGAGCCAAATCTATCCCCACTCTTATTACTATTACTTAGGAGTTTCACTGGAACACACACCCACATAAACACACAGAGGCTAGTCATAAATGTGACATATTTTTCACTTTGAGAAAAACTGGGTGTTGCTTCTTTCAGTTTTCAGAGGTTTATTAAGGTTACTTTAAGTCAACAGGTACGTATTGTAAGTTCTGAATGGTTATTATTCTTTAACTTCTAGCACAAATATGAGGATAAGAGTGATTGTGTGTGTGTGTGTGCATGTGTGTATAAAAATTTCCCTATTCCTATGAGTCAGGAGAAGTCGTTAGTGTGTCTGGTTGAAGTATTCTATCAGTTGCCCACCTCAAGCCTGCATCCTCATAATGTGGGTGATTCACAATGGGGTGAAGAGTGGAGAGCTTGACACTTGCCATTGTAGGCATGGCACCAGCAAAAACAGCATCTGGAAAACAAGATTATATTCCTTAACAACATGTTTTAAAGAAAACCAAAAGTTACCTATCTGTAATATTTGAACCCAGATTAAGAAAGATGAAGTACATTTAAATAATAATCATTGGCAGCATTCTTTTTCTTCGCTTAATATTTACTGATGGTCTACACAATAGCCAACTTTCATTAAATGTTATCTTGGTGCCAGGAACTGCTAAATACTTTTACTAGGATTACAGAATTTAATTTGCACAGCTTTGAGGTGGGTTCTATGTATTCTTATTTTGTACATCAGGAAGCTGAGACATAGCAAAGTTAATTAAGTGACCTGCCCAAGACTGCACAGCTAGAAAGTATCAGGGCCTACCCTCTTAGCCACTTCACTACAGCATACTACCATGTTCAAGCGCTATACTAAGAGACAGCACTACAAAGACACACAGGACTGGAAAGAATTGTAAAATTTGATATCTTGTTCCAATAGTTTAAAGTTCTAGGAACTGGGAGACTATTATAAAGGGCAAGTCTTATGGTACATGTTTTAAAGTGACTTTTGTGGGTTGTGAACTGTAATCTTGAGAACTTTCCAGATGAAAGCATTGTTTTCTTCCCTCAGATCACCTTTAAATATTCATAAGTAAGTTTTCTTAGTTTCTGTTTGACTTTATAAATGTATACATTTCATCAAACCATTTCATTACTTGTTAGTAGTACTTTCTGAAGTAATAGCTTGTATAAATGTATTGCCTTTTGGTTATAACTAGTCTTACACCAAAATCTACTGTCTGGCTTCAGTTTTAGTTCTGTCTCTTGGGAGACAAAAAGACCAAACGCTTACTTCCTGGCACTCGTGTACAATAAATGATTACATGATTAGCAAGGTTATCGTCATTTTTAATCAGCACAGTAAAATCACTAATAAGAACAAGGCATATTATTCAGATCTACTGTAAATAATTGAATGTTTACTTTCAAATGTAATTAAGCATTCTAAATGTAACTTTGGAGACTTCCCTGGTGGTGCAGTGGTTAGAAGTCTGCCTGCCAATGCGGAGGACCATGGGTTCGAGCCCTGGTCCGGGAAGATCCCACATGCCACAGAGTAACTAAGCCCGTGCGCCACGACTGCTGAGCCTGCGCTCTAGAGCCTGTGAGCCACAGCTGCTGAAGCCCACGTGCCTAGAGCCCATGCTCCGCAACAACAGAAGCCACTGCAATGAGAAGCCTGCGCACTGCAACGAAGAGTAGCCCCTGCTCACTGCAACTAGAAAAAGCCCACGTGCAGCAACAAAGACCCAATGCAGCCAAAAATAAATAAATAAATGGATACATTTATTTAAAAATAAATAAGTAAATAAATAAATATAACTTTGCATGAATATCTCTTTATATGCCTTAAATTTGAAAATACATAAATAAATTGAAGTAGATGTGTATTTATTATTGTAAGATTCAATAATTAATGATGAAAAGCTCTTAGGCTAGAGCAGTGGTTCTCAACCAGAAGTGATTTTGTTTCCTAGAGACACTGACAACTTCTGGAGATATATCTGGTTAGCACACTGTGGGGGGAGAGGGGCTACTGACATCTACGGGTAGAAGGAAGGAATGCTGCTCAATATGCTGCCAATGCACAGGGTAGCCCCAAATATCAACAGTGCCAAGCTTGAGAAACTCTGGGCTAGAAGGACCCAAAGCTCAGGGCCAGGGTCATCCAGAAGAAACTAGGTAAGCCTGTCCAGCAAGAACTGGAACCACTGAGAAGCAACCATCTATGAAACAGAGAGAAGGGGAGAGAGAATACTCCCCAAATGCTTCTTTCCTCTTGGGGGCAAAGTAAACATGAGTGTGACAGGGAAACAATAGGATCTTTTCTATAATATATTTAAATTTCCACTTAGCTTACCGCATGTATTAGAAAAAAATTATCCCTTTGACTTGACAGAGCCTCACTAATACATACATGACTTGGTAAGTGGACCACAGGCTGGATATCAGTTCCCACTTGTCCTCCCAACTGAGCACCTTTGTGCTGTGTACAAATTATACAACCTTACATGGTAGACCTGAATGTAAGCTCTAGTTCCACCTTTACTATAGAATTTAATAACCCATGTGGTAACCATGACAGGACTCATAATACAGCGATGAGAAAGATTGGTAAGATCAAAGAAGAGGCAAAAATGAGGTAGGAGTTTGTGAGAGTTATCTCAGAAGGGTAAGTTGCCAAACATAGGCTCTCTCTGCCAAGAACCCAAGACAAACACTGGAACAAAGAAAGACACAAGCAAACATGGAAAGAGCAGGTATCTTTTAAAGCTTTGGAAAAACAGCTGTAAGTGGGGAGGAGCAAGGGAGAGTAAAGGGACTAGCTACCTTGTACTACTGTACTACAGGGAAAAAGTCAGTAAAGTGTTAATTCAAAAATTCTGATTAAACTAACCTGGAAGCTCTAAGTGATGAGGCACTGTCACCTACACCCTTTGAAAGCCATAGGCCAAATATCTGAGTTGAAGTTCATAAGAGTTTACCTTAATGATAGCTAGTTAGTAAAATGATGACTACCAAATAAGAGATAAGAAGAAACTGGCTCAAGGAGTCACAGGATAAATTTAAATAAACCACAGTGAAGAACTTGTGCCAGAAAAAAATTATCAAACGTCAAAAATTGTCTAGGACAAGACTATAGGTTACTTACAGAAAATAATGTACAATATATTTATCCTCTGGAAAGGTATTTAAAAGTGAAATAAATATCAATCTGCTTGAGGTGGTTTTGGACAAAGAGCAAGAAAAGAAGATAAGCTAAAAGAATATTTTAAAGTATTTAAAAATAGCATGTATACTCATCTTTTTGAGATGAATTAGTGAAGAAAACAGAATATCCAAGATTTTAACTCTTCTCCATGTGACTGGTTTTACAGACATGGAGCAGAGAGTAGGCACTGAATGGAAGTGAAGGGAGGGGTATTGTTAACCTCCCCAGTCAAAACTATCTTCTCCAGTGGCCTGTCACAAGGTGTGAAAGTTGTCATTAAAGGTTTTTTTTTTTTCCTTTGAGGTGTCACTGTTATGGTTAAAATACAATAATCTCAGAGTTATAGCACATAACTTGTGGACAATCAATAACTCTTAAAGTCAGTTAAAATTCTTTTCGACAGGTACCTAGGAGGGGTTTAAAGATGACACAAAACCACCTTTTAAAAAGGTTTGATTTGGTGAACACTGCAATTACCATGCTCAAAATCTGTGAAGGTATGAATGCATATGTATTTTAAATTTTTATATATATACACACATACACATATATATGAAATGATAACTGTACAATATATGCAAATGTATAATGACATATAATAATAATGTGTGTGCGTGAGTGTGTGCTAGCTATACGTATAACCAAACAGCTACATACCCGGTCTGGTATTGTGTTTGATCCACTGTATCAGTTCTTCCTGGGGCAAATTATTAAATTCTCCTATTATGTTCCATTGATTATGGAGGTTTGTACAACCTTGTATTGACATCACTGTTAGAATGCCAAAGATAACATTCTCAAAACGAACTCTCCGAAAAAGCCAGCCAAAGAGCTGAAATGAAAGAAACCAATTATTTATAATTCTTATATGAAGGAGGCTATTGGGTCAATAATAAATTACCACCTTTCTACCTAAACCAAGGTGGATTACCATTTGATACTAACAATATACAGAATATAATAATCATCACCTATTGTTTAAAAACAGCAAATATTTTGGAATTGGAGTCCAGTTAAAAATGGAGCTTTCTGGGCTTCCCCGGTGGCACAGCGGTTGGGAGTCCGCCTGCCAATGCAGGGGACACGGGTTCGTGCCCCAGTCCGGGAAGATCCCACATGCCACAGAGCGGCTGGGCCCGTGAGCCATGGCCGCTGAGCCTGCGCGTCCGGAGCCTCTGCTCTGCAACAGGAGAGGCCACAACAGTGAGAGGCCCGCGTACCGCAAAAAATAATAAATCAGAACAAAAAAAAAAAAAAGAGCTTTCTTTCCTCTTAAAAGAAATAAAGAAGGAATACCTGATCCTTCTGGTACTGATTTACTACCAGGAATTAAGATTAGCAAATCACAATTCTGAAACATCCTGGAACTAAATCCATAACATCTGGCTGCCTTTTATGGACATCTTGAATAACTAGGGAAACCTCATTAGTACTGACAAGTATATTCCTCTCAGGAATATAAGCATTATGATATTCTAAGGCAAGACACTTAGAATCAAAACTAAGTAAGGTGTCTCTAGAAGTAACTTGGTCCCAAAATTCTAGCTACTTTGTCTAGCTCTTTTGCATACAGTAACAGAACCCCAGAATTGACAATTTTCCCCCACGAATTATCCAAGCCCAACAAGACAACACTAGAGCAATTACGCTGCATCTTCTCTAGTATTACAAGAGCACTTGAGGATAGTTTTGACGGGCCAAGAATCTCTTACACTGACCTGAACTTCAAAAAACTATATTTGTGGAGAGGATACTAATAGAGGGGAAAGTCATAGAATTATCAGCTAAAATCTAGGAATAATTTTCAAAGCTACCTGAATTTACTTTTCTTACTCTATAATGAATCATGAACTAACATTTTACATCATTTAAGATAAAAACACCTAGTGTTTTTATGTTTTGGATTACTCAGCAAAGCCATGGTAACTACACCGTAGTTGCTGTAGTGTTATAGTGTAGTTATACAAGAATGAATACCTTACCCGCCGAGAGCATATCAAGGAAGCCATAACACACATGTGAGGTGTCAAAAAGAGCTTCAGCCTCATAATTAAAATGGCAAGGGAAGCAAATGCAAACAACTGCAATATGTGAAAAATTAGCTATAAAAACACAAAACAAAATTACATTTTCACTTTATATGTTTTTTAATTAATATATGTAAAATAAAGTATATTAAAACTATTATTCACTAGGACAAGGATCTTTTAAGTTATTAATAAGTCTACTAATATTTATTCATTCATTCAACAAAGATTTATCAAATGCCTGCTATATGCCAGGTGCTGTTCTGGATGCTTTGGATATAGTAGTGAACAAAACAACACTGAGCAATTCCTGTCCTATGAGGCTCACATTTTAGTACATTTACTAAGGAGAGACAAAATAAATAGACATAGCAAATAACAAAATCTATCATACAGTCTATCAGAAAGTGGTAAGTGCAATGGAAAGGGAAGCAGAGCCAGGAAAGGAGACTGAAGTGCAGGGTGTGGTGTGAGACCACAGGCAGGAGAAGTTGCAAGTGTAATTAGGATCATCAGAGTGGGCCTCTTCAAAGAGGTGGCATTTGAGCAAGGACCTACACCAGGTGAGAAAGGGAGTCACAGAGACATAAAAATATGGGATGCTTCACAAATTTGTGTCATTTAGTCAGCAACAAAAATCATAACACAAACTAGATTATTTTAGAAGTAGTGGAATTGTATAAATACTTGTACTAATTAGTAGGACACCCCATTTTAAGATGGGGTTCCTCTGAGCAAAGGTTTCAAACAAAACTTTTCTAACAGACATATTCATAAAATTTCAACAAACTCCTCACTAGAAAAATGGACAAAGAATTAATACAACCAAAAGTAAGCACAACTAAATATTCATGTTCTAATTCACTAATATTCAAACAAATTAAATAGTAAAGATAATATTTTCACCTATAAAATTGACAAATATTAAATTAATAGAGTGTTAGAGAGTATGCCATGAAACACACCGAAATAATTGGTATATTTCTGTAATTTAGTAATATTTATCAAGACCCTAGAAAAGAGCCAGCTCCTTTGACTAAAATTTTGGTTCTAGGAATTTAACTTAAGAGAATAATCAAAACACAAAAATGCTTCTACAAAGATGATCGCTGAAATGAATTTTTCACAGCAAAAACAGAAACAACCTAAGTGACCAATATAGAGGACTAAGTAAATTATTGCATTTTCACATGTATACAACCATTAAAAGATTACATACTGCAAGATTATTTAATGGCATGGAAAAGTTTTCAGAATATAAAACTCTATACTATAATAATATTAATTCTATGAAAACCATCTATGTGTGTATATACATGCACAGGGGGAAAGGCTGTAAGAGAATATACTTAAAAAGTTAACAGAAATTATTTCTGAATGGTGATTTTTCTCATTTTTCAAATTTTAAAGACACGTGCTATTCTTATAATCAGAAATATATAATTTATATTTAAAACAGAATGGCAAAAACTGTACCTAAAGTTATCTTTTTTCCTTTTCTAAATGATATTTGAAATGGAAAATCTGTTAATTTTTTAAATAATTCTTGAACCCAGAGTTGGAATGTGGAACATTTATTTCAAAATCAATCCTTCATTTTTCTTTAGTCAAACTCACCTTTGGACAAAATTAGGAACATGTTTTGGAGAGAAGACAAGACATCAACACACTTCATCCTCAAATAGGTCCTTTTGTTTAGGACCGCTAAATCACAGATTGATAGGTTATGTGAGCCATCTACTTTAATCATCTATCCAAAACAGGGATCACTTCTATAAATCTATCAACTGAATATTCACTATTTCCTGAAAAGGAATATGCCATAGGAGTACCTATTACAAAGACGGATAGCTGTATATGTTAGAAAATCTTTTCTAAAACAGAACTAATGTTTTCCTGCAACTTCCACACCTCTGGAACTGCACAAAATTGGCCTAAACCCATTTGTGCATGACAGTTCTCGATTATCTAAATACTGTAATTATGACTTTGCATTATTCCCACCTTCAACCTTAGAAAGCTTTCTATCTTTAGAGTAAATATTCAGAAAAATTCAATTATTAGTTGTGTGTTGTCATAATTCTGGTTGCCCTGCTCTGAATGTGGTACAGATTGTCCATCATCTTCTTAAAATGTGGCATCTAGAAACAGACCATAATAGATAACGGATAATCGATACAAATACACATCTGAATTCTCCCAGTATTCCTTCCTTTGGTTATTTTGAGCCACAGGATGACACTATCATTTCCTCCCCTAACTTCTGTTACTTCTACTTTAGCAACAATTTCTCACATGACCAAAATCAAATCCAAGGTAGTAATACTCCTTGACTTTCCTCTATCATCTAAAGGCTGAAGGAAGGACTGTTTTCATATGGAGACTTGAAAGATCCCCACCATTACCTTGTCTTCCCTGAATGATGCTTTTTGTGTCTGGATGACACAGAACAGCTATCCCAAATGGCATCACTTACGTTTGTTTTCTATTCTCACCCAAATGCTCCTAAGCATTCACTTACCCTCAGGCTACGACTTTCCATAAAGCTCTTTTGCCATAGTTATTTTATCTTCCATTCTGTAAGACAGCCTTCTTTTTAACTACCAAGTGGAGGACAGAAGGCTACAGTCAAAAAGTATAGTACAAAAATCACTATTGTATGTATGCCATTGTCAATCTGGTACCTCTTGCCATATAAAAATTACTAGGAAAATTCTCACAACATTTTTTAGAGGCTGGAAGGAAGGAAGAGAAGCTCAGGGAACTGTTTACTACTCATCTTTGGAATAAGTGAGCCCAACTGGGTAAAATGTGAGGTAGCAGCTACCGAGCAGAAAGAAAGCAAGGACTAACTAAAGCCAGTCCAAATAGCGAGTTGTTCCTGTCAAAATTACCTCACATGACAGTGTGAAGATATCTTGAGAACATGCTAAAGAGATGCCCTTCACTGGCACAGTTAACAGGGAGCAGAATATTAGATCTGAAATTTTGATCCAGAAGGCACACTAACTGTAAAAGTGGATATTTACACAATGCTTAACTTAGACTAGGCATTATTGTAAGGACCTTTCATGTAACTCATATAATCCCATAGCAACCATACGAAGATAAGTACTATTATGATTGTTGTTGTTTTTGTTGTTCCCCAAAAGATGTAAAATAACTTAGCCAATATCACATGCTGGGTAAGTGGAATAACAAAGATCTGAGTCCAGTCTAGCTTCTGAGTCATTGTCTTTAACTACTACCCTATACTTTCTCTCCAAACAATAAACTATTCAACAACATAGTTCTATTAGTCTGTGAATACAGAAGTGTACAGATTCCCAAAATATGTCACTCAATATCAGTTTCTCAAAAGAAGTAATTCTTCCCCCAAATTCCTTATCATTTCACTTCTTCAACTGAATAGCTCTATATAAGTTCAGATGCCTTCAGCTGTATGTCACAGAAAGCTCTTTGGCTGTAAGTAATAGAAAAACCTTGTTTATAATAGAAAACACAAACTAAACAGACTTCAAATATAAAGGATCTAATATAAACTAATCACATAATATAATAAACTAGGGATTAGAAAAAAGTGAAGGCTGATGCAGGACTTTCTGTCATGGACAAAATGAGATATGAGTGGGTCAAAAGAATATTCAGGAGTGAATACTCTGAATGTTCTCTCTCCCTAGCCAATCTTCTCACCAGTTCTTCATAGTATTAGGACATTCTGGGACTAAATATTTTTCCTAAATCTCTTTCCTTTCTTTTCTTCCCTGTGAATTACTAGGTACTCCTTCACTAATTTCTAAGCCCATAACATAGAAAAGTTGGCTAAAAGAAACAAATCTGATGTAATAAATAAAACACAAATACATTAAATTATGAGGAAAAATCACAACAGTATCCATTAATCTAACAAACTTTAATAATCAATATCATACCAGTAGGGGTTAATTTAGTGAGTTGAGGTTTGCAGACTATCCCTGATTCAGAGGGTTAGCACAAAGCGAGGAATTTAGAACTTACCCCCAGTGAAAAAAATTATCCTAAGGGATCCTCACCTAATTTTGAAACAAGCTGGAATGTACAATCTTTTGCTATCATATCACATTCAGAGTGAATCAGGGTTTGTGCCTCTCACACCCTATCATCCCTAAGGTGAAAACAGTCCCATCCCAAACCAAACAGATATTTATCAAGTGTGAGTCACAAGTGGAAGTGGGATTAGGAGCCACTTCATTGCTACTGCCCAGAAATCTATCATCTCCTTCCATAAGACCTACTATTTTTAGAAATTTAAATCTCTAATCTGCCTATACATCAGGAGTTTAGCATACCCTCTTTAGTTTGAAAAAATTAAGAGATTTGCTATCACTGTCCTTTTTTCGGTCAGCTTGACTTCTTACTGCCTTTTAAAAAACCATCTTCTTTACTGCCAACAGACTTAAAGATCTGACCATACCATCTCCAACTTAACAACAAAGTCCAGAATGAAGTCCAGCTGCTTTGCATACAAAGGCATCATACTCTGAACGCTGCTTTCTTTTCCCATCTTCTTGTCTTTTTTATGCATCAGCAACACTGATTTGCCTGTAGCTCTGGATAAATTTACTACCTTCTGTCTTCTTTGCACATGTGCATCCTTTGACTTTGGTAAACTCTTCCTCTATAGTCATCTGAAAAGCCTTTCCCTAACTACCCCATCCCTTCCAAACACAGATTTAATCACTTCTTCTTCTGTACTACTTTTGTATCTTCCTTTGTCATTGCACATATAATTATGTGGTCACATTTTTTTCCCTCTACTATACCTTAAATTCCATAAAAGCAGAAACCTGGTGTATAGTAGGCACATAATAAAGACTGAACTGATAAGTATGCAGAATTAATAGAAAAAAGAAAAATGGGCAAAACAAGGACAAATGGAGAAATGAAAGAAAATGAGAAGGTAGCAAACTATATGAGAAAGAGAGGCAGAAACTTAAGGAATACTATATTTCTAAAAAGAGGTGGGTTTTAAATATTGTATGATAAAATATGAAGTACGAATGTGTACTAGTAAGTAAAGCTGGATAATGTGACATGCCTAATTTACATAAATGCAGTTCACATTAGGTGGTATCAGAGTGAATGGCCAACAGCATGGATTTTGCTGCTACACTGCCTGGGTTCATAGTCCTTGGCTCTACAGAGCTAAGGCCACTTTAGCTTTGTGACCTTAGGCAAGTTATCAATACTTAACCTCTCTATGCCACAGTTTTTTTCATCTGTAAAATAAAAAAATAATAGTACTTACCGTCAATGGGTTGCTGTGAGAATGAAATTATCAAATAACTTCCCCCAAAATGCCCTGCACATAGGAAGCAGTAAGTGCTGACTACTCCTCTGAGAGCACTGGAAATGGATTGCTAGTGGTTAAATGCAAGATTTACTGCAAATTAGCTATGAGACTTTAGGTAAACTACTTAATTTCTCTAGGTCTCTAGTCCTTGGCAGAGATCCCTTTGCTCTCTTTCCTACACACACAGCAAAACTCCATTTCCCAGCCTCCCTGGCAGTCAGGTGTGGCCATGTGCCTGAGTTCTGGCTGTGAGAAGGAAGTGATGTGCATCTATCTTTTCCAGTCTTACAAAGCCTCCAGTGCACAATCTTCCATGTTCTTTCTCCTTTGCTGCCTTGTACACATCAAGCCTGAACACCACATATTGAAGATGGCAGAGCCATAGATGGAAGCAGTCTGGGTCCCTCAAATACTGCTTGTTGGAGAACTACCTGCTAATCAGGAACTCCGGTTTTAACCTTATGTGAGCAAAGAATTAAATTTCTACTGATTTAAGTCATTTTAATGTTAGTGTTTATCTCTGTAACATCTAATATCATTTAATTAACATAATTTTCTTATTTGCAAAGTGGGAATAATATTATTATGAGAATCAAAACAGTACAGTACATGGCACATAGTAACTATTTAAAAAATATTAGTTATCATCATAAGCTATTCCTATTAAGTTCAAATTCAGTTGCCCTCTCTTGTAAATTTGACCTGCCACTTAAGACTCAAAGTTCTATTATTTAGGAAATTGTATTTCTAGCCCATGATGATCTTTCTCTTGTATGTCACAAAATAATTTAGCACCATAAGAAAGGCTATGTTGTTTTGCTCTCCATTGAAAAATTAGACATTTCTGAGAGCAGGAACATCGCTATACCATCTGTTGTATCCTGTAACACGGCTAAGCTTGTAACTGGTTGACCATCAGGTCTGTGGGTGGCAAAAACCCACCAGTTACAGGGCCACGGGTACCTACCCTGATGGCTTGTAGCTGATTAGCTCAGCGGGTTAGAAATTAATGTTTGTTATTGTTGAATGAATGAAGGAAGGTAATTTAATTTAATTATACTCTGTGGTCATAAATCAGCCTTCTGGCTGTCAAGTCCTTACTACTGTTCAAAACTGAGAGCAGATTAAAAAGTGGGAAGGATGAGCAGAAATTTATTACCAGTGCTGAAGCACTTAAGCACTGATGTTGGTGTATCAACAGCAGTTATACCTTTGTGAATTATCCTTGAACTAAAATATAATACACAAATCTAGCAGAGATTAAAAAGAAAGTTTTACCTCACCACGTTCAAGGAGATGTTTTCTGGAATAAAACAAAAATATTCTCTATTTACTGACTGTCCATTATACTATGATTACATCAAAATGAACTTCCATTTATTTGTTCTTATATTTTAAATAAATAAATATATAAATAAATAAAGCTATCAGATAATATTACTAAAAACTATGGCAATTTAAAAGGCATGATTTATAGTCATTCTATTTAAAGTATATCAAAATGCTGTTCTTTGGTTAACATAAAATGGGTTTTACTGATTGCTGAAAACTGTATCTCTGGAGACATAAATGAATAAAAAGAATATCTATTAAATATTCAACCATATACAGAATATATAATGCTTTATATAAGCACTGCTGTGACTTTTGAGTTGTTTTTATTTTTCACAATTACTAACATGAACATCCTTGTACTTAAAACTCTGTGAGCATCTCTGAGTATTTCCTTAGGATAAATTTCTAGAATAAAAGTTACTAGGTAAAGCTTATAAATATTTTTAGTTCCACAAAAGTTGTCTAACAAATTTTCTAAATATTTATGTCTAAAAATTTACTAAATTTTTATGGCATACCTACTGTGTTCCAGGCACTGTGCAGTGAGCACAGTGTGAACAGAATAGATACTGTTCTTATCCTCATAGAGTTTATGTTAGATCCAGACAAGAGATACAAGACTACTTATTTTATTGCCCATTGTAAAGACTGAATATTTCAGTCTTTGCAGGATGAGAGGCCTTCTCATATGGATTTTTGGGTTGGAGAGAGAAGTAAGACAGTATAAATAAGAAAGTAAGAAGTATAAGGAAGTTCAGGGGCACTCACAGATCCAGAGATTTTTTAAGAAGAGTAGTGGAGGGAAGGCCTCTTAGAATAGTAGTGAAATCACCAAATTATTTTTCCAACCTCGCAAGTCCTTCCTGAGTTTATGCAGTCAAGGGTGGAGGTGGGGGTGAATGGATGGGTTCCCACATGTCCTGAAATCTGCCAGTCACAACAGACTCTTATAGTGAGCTACTGCATGAAGGGAGAGGCCTGGTAGGTAAGTATTATAATCACCAATGACCCCAACAATAAGTATGGATACAAATAAATCTAGTAACTAATTTAGAATATCAATATACAACCAAATCATGAGACACAAATAGGATGAAAGAAAAACATCAAGATAAATGAGCAAATGAACTGAACACTCGAGAAAGAGTTAATATAAGGAATAATAGTATTAAATGAAAATTCCAATTATTATCTTCACAGAAGTCTAAGAGGATTCTGCATCCATTCAATTAAAACAAGCTGCAGTAAAAAAGAGCTTTCAGAAATTATGAAAAAACATATTTGCCTAATTTAAAACCTTAGAAGAAGGTTGAATAGCAGAATTTACACAGCTGAAATTGGTCATTTTGAAGACCCAATCATAGAATTCTCTGAGAACATAAGAAAAAAAGAAATAAAAAATATGATAAAAGCAATAATATATGTTCAAAAAAGAGAGGCTAAAGCAAAAAAAACAAACAAACAAAAAAAAGAGAATAACTACCCCCTGAGCTAAAGAAAGATTTGAGTGTTCAGATTAAAATGCCCATGAATAAACATATAAATAACAGGGTAGAAATCTTATTTAGGGAACAATGGCTGAAACCTTGCTAACTCTGGGGAGATATGGACATCCAAGTAGAGGAGGCTCATACGTGACCTTTCCCAAATTCACTAGATACATTATAATAAAACTGTCAAAATCAAAGACAAAAACTGACCTTTGAAAATGCAAATCATCTCATATAAGGAAACCCCTGTAAGGCTATCAGCAGATTTCTCAAAGGAAACCTTGGAGGCCAGGAGAGAGTGGGATATTCTAAGTGCTCAAATAAAAAATCTGCCACCTAAGAATACTTTACCTAGCAAAGCTGTCCTTCAGATGAAGGTGAGAAAGACTTTCCCAGACAAACAAAAGCTGAGGGAGTTCATCATCACTAGACCTGCCTTATAAGAAATGCTAAAGGGAGTCCTTCAAGCTGAAACGAAAGAACGCTAATTAGTAACATGAACACACATCAAAGTACAAAACTTGCTAGTAAAAGTAACTACACAAATTCAGAATACGCTAATACTGTAGTAGTGGTGTGTAAATCACCTAACTCTAGTATAAAGACAAAAGACCAAAGCATTAAAAAATAAATATAGCTACAGTAATTTATTAATGGATACACAATATAAGAAGATCCACATTGTGACATCAAAAGCATAAAATGGGGACAAGGGAAGTAAAAAGGCAGAATTTTTATATGCAATTGAAGTTAAGTTGTTATCAGCTTAAAATAGACTCAAAACTGTAAGATGTATTATGTAAGCCTCATGATAACCACAAAGTAAAAACCTATAGTAGATACACAGAAGATAGAGGAATCAAAGCATACCACTATGAAAAATCATGAAGTGATAAAGGAAGATAGCATGAGAGGAAGAAAGAAACTACAAAACAGAAAGAAAACAAGATGGCAAAAATAAGTCCTCATCTATCAATAATTACTTTAAGTATAAATTGATTAAATTCTCTAATCTAAAGATACAGAGTGGCTAAATGAATAAAAAAACAAGACCCAATTATAATGCCTATAAGAGTCTTATTTTAGCTTAAAGGATACACATGAAGTAAAAGTGAAGGGATGACAAAAGGTATTCCACACAAATGGAAATGAAAAGAAAGCAGGGGTAAATATATATATATATATATAATATATTATACGTATATATAAAATCAGGTGAAACACACTAAGTTGAAAAATGTAACGAGACAAAGGAGAAAGTCACTATATAATGATAAAGGGGTCACTTCATCAAAAGGATATAACAATTCTAAATCTATATGCACCCAGCATTAAGACACTTAACTATATTAAGCAAATATTAATAGATAGGAGAGGAGAAATAGACAGCAGCACAATAATTCCAGGGGACTTAAGTACCCAATTTAACATTGGATAGATCATCCAGACAACAAATCATTAAGGAAATGTTGGACTTGAACTACACTTTAGACTAACTGGACCTAAGCATACACACAGTGCATTCTATTCAACAGCAGCAGAGCACACATTCTCCTCAAGCACACATGGAACATTCTCCAGGATAAATCACATGTTAGGTCACAAAACGAGTTTTAACAAATTTAAGATTGAAATCATATCAAGTATTTTTTCTGCCCACAACAGTATGAAATTAGAAGTAGGAGAGCTGGAAAATTCACAAATATAATCCTGAACTATCAATGGGTTAAAGATGAAATCAAAAGGAAATCAAAAAGTATCTTGAAACAAATGAAAATAGAAACACAACATACCAAAATTTATGAGATGCAGCAAAAGCAATTCTAAGAGGGAAGTTTATAGCAATAAATGCCTACATTAAGAAAAAAGAGTTCAAATAAACAACTTAACTATACATCTCAAGGAACTAGAAGAAGAAGAACAAACTAAGCCCAAAATTAGAAGGAAGAAAATAAACATCAGAGAAGAAATAACTGAAATAGAAGAAATAATAGAAAAAAAATCAATGAAATTAAGAGGGTTTTTTTTTTTTTTGGAAAAGATAAACAAAATTGACAAGCCTTTAATTGAACTGAGGAAAAAAAGACTCAAATAAAGAAAATCATAAATGCAAGAGAGGACATTACAACTAAATACAAAGAATCATAAGAAACTGTATAAACAATCATAAACCAGCATATTGGACAACCTGGAAGAAATGGATACTTTCCTAGAAACATACAATCTACCAGGACTGAATTGGAAGAAATAGAAACTCTGAACAGACTTAAAACTAGTAAGGAGATTGAATTAATAATCAAAAGTCTCCCAACAAAAAAACCTGCAAGACCAGATGGCTTCACTGGAGAATTCTATCAAACATTTAGACAAGAATTAATGCCAATCATTCTCAAACTCTTCCAAAAAATTTAAGAGAAAAGAAGACTTCCAAACTCATTTTACAAGGCTAGTATTACCTTGACATTGAAGTAAGACAAGGACAATAAAAATAAAAGAATATTGTAGGCCAATATCCCTGATGAATACAGATGCCAAAATCCTTAACAAATAGTAGAAACCAAATTCAACATCACATTAAAAGGATAATACACCATGATCAAGTGGGATTTATCTTTGCAATGTTAGGATGGTTCAACATATACAAATCAATAAATGTGAAACACTACATTAACAGAATGAAAGATAAAAATCATGTGCTCATCGCAATAGAGACAGGAAAAGCATTTGACAAAATCCAAAACCCCTTCATGATAAAAACAAAAAAAACTCTCAACAAATTAGGTATAGACAATACAATACAGGCAATATGTGACAAGCTCACAGCTAACTTCACACTCAATGGTGAAAAGCTCAAAGTTTTTCCTCTAAGATCAGGAGCAAAACAAGGATGCCCACTCTTGCCATTTATCTTCAACACAGTACTAAAAGTCCTAGCCAGGGCAATAAGGCAAGAAAAAGAAACAAAAGGGATCAAAGTCAGAAAGGAAGAAATAAAATTGTCCATGTTTGCAGTACCTAGAAATAAATTTAACTGAGGAGGAGACAGACTTGTATACTGAAAACTGTAAGACACTGATGAAAGAAATTGAAGAAGACACAATTAAATGGAGAGATACCCTATGCGTTTGGTTTGGAAAAATTAATGTTGTTAAAATGTCCATACTACCCCAAGTGATCTACAGATTCAATTCAATCCCTAACAAAATTCCAATGACATTTGTCACATATATAGAAAGAACAATCTTTTTTTTTTTTTGCATTGCAGTATGGGTAAGAATTGCTTTATGAAAATTCATTTACATATACATGAGTGTGCCTAAGAACAATCTTAAAATTCATAAACCACAAAAGACCCTGAATTTCCAAAATAATCTTGAGAAAAGCAGAACAAAGCTATAGGTATTACATTTCCTGATTTCAAACTATATTACAAAACTATAGTAGTCAAAACAGTGTGAGACTGGCATAAAAAAAGACA